AGAACATTAAAATATGGTAGCATGAGAACTACAAGCAGTCATTGAAACTAATGCTTTCTGACAGTAGTAAGTAAAACACTGGAAATGAGATGGCTCTAAGATACCTCACTTTGAATGTCCAGACCATATTCACAGATACCTCCACATCAGTCATTCTCTGAGCCAGAGGATGGAGCCAGGGACCTTCATGGCGGTGGGAGAGACACAGACCCATAGTGTTATCTGTGCTCTATGTACAAGTCATTCTCCAGAGGTGATGGGATGGGGAAAGACTGTCTGTCCAAGGAAAGGAAGAAAATGAAAGGGAAGACAGTAAGAGATAGACAATCTTGTTTCTCCTTGTTTTTCTTGTCCGTGACTAGAATGAACACAAATTCCTTTCTTTCAGTTGAGGAATTTATTAAAGCAGAGCATAAGAACTTAAATAGACTTCAAAAATTCTACTGTAAAACTATTAACCATTTGCTTTTTTCAGGGTAATCTTAATACTGAAAAGAATGCTGTAGCTATGAAGTTTCATCATAACCTTCATTCCCAGAACCAGGTTGTAAGAGAGATATCATCTGAAGTAAAAGACAGGAAAGTTTTAAAATGTAAAATATCACTGAATGTTTTCTTAGCAAGTTTTGAGAGGCCATCACATCTATTAAACAGAAAGATAATTTACATAAAATTTTAATCTAGAACTATTTCTTTAACATAATAAACACTATCACATTGAACATAATCAACAGTAAATTAGACAAGTCAGAAAACCAATTTGTCAACTCTATAAAAATTCAAGAAATAGCCCAGAATTCTTAGGAAGCAGAAAGATATTTAACATGTGAGAAAAAGCTATTACCACAATAGCAGCTTTATTCCCAATGGCCCCAAATTGGAAAATATTCAACATCCATCAACAATGCAATGGATAAATGATTGTGTTACATTTATGTAACAGAATACAATATAGCAAAAAATGTGATTTCCAACACAGATATTTTAAATATAAGATTGAATAAAATATAGTAGACACAAAATTATATGGTATGTAGTCAGAATAGTGATTAATTTGGTAGCATTATGTATTTACTCTGAGGGAGACATGAGGAAGGCTTTTGGAATTCTGAATTCTGTATCTTGATCTGGGTGATGATTATATGAGTATATTCATTTCAAAAATTCATTTGGCTGAACACTTAAGATTTGTGCAGTCTATGTATTTTATACCTCACTTAGAAAGCTTAGAATATAATGAAAAGTATCTTATCTTGACAAACGATCTATTGCTGTGTAACAAACCACTCCAAAAGTTAGTGATTTAAAAGAACAACATATTATTATCTCTTGTGGTTATGTAAAAGGGCACAACTGGACAGTTCTCACTTAGGGATGCTCACATAGTCACTGTCAGTCACTGAGGCTGGAGATACCTGAAGGCTCAACTAGGCTGGATATCCCAGGTGGCTTTTGTGTGCCCCTGTTGGTTCGTTACCTGGGATGGCTGCAGTAGCTGTGGACCCGCTGAGCATGTCTCTCTGTACACAGCCTTCGATGTGATTAGATGGACTGTCTCACAGCATGGTGGCCTCTAGGCAGCTAAAGTTTTTGCACGGTAGTTGACCACCCTAAGAGCGAGCATTCAAGAGACCCAGATGTGGTCAGCTAGGCTCCTTACAGCCCAGCCTGGGAAATATGCAGTGTCACCTCCACCACAATCCAGCCAGCTCAGATTCAAGAGAAAGGCACTCATGGGAAGGTGACCACTAGCCAGTGTGCTTCATCAGGCTGGTATCTTTGAAGACCAGATACCACACCACAGTCATTTGAATTTGTGTCATTACTTGGTACTCCTAGTTTTTCCCTGCTGCTCTTTTTGCATTGGAGTCCTTTTGGGATGACATCAATAAAACTATTTCATGTTTTTAAGATTGTATTTGTCTAATATTTCTTTTTCAACCTTTCTACATGTAGACTTTTTGTTGTTTTTATTCTTCAGGTGGGTATTTCATAAGCAGTGTGTATTTTTTCAGCCTCATGATTTATACAGCTAGAATCCTCAGTCTATTATCTTAAATGTATTTCTGTATAGCTTTCTATAGCAGGTGATTTCCTGGGTTTTGAGTCATGTTTCTTATTTGGTTTTGTACATTAATTTTTCTCACATTTTGGTTTCTTCTTCCCTCATGTATGACCTTATTTTTGTTGACTATTTTTCTCATTTCATTATTTTGTCTTTCAGAAGTCCACAATTCATTTTCATTTTTTGATGATTAACTGTAACATTTTATTGTATAATTATATTAAGAAAATCTGAGATTAGTCTTATCTTTATCCTTCTCCTGAAGCCTATGCAAACTTTAGAACAATTAACACCTATGGTTTCCTTCATGATTTCCAATATTTTGGATAGTTAGAATGTTAGATCTGTCTAACTATAATAACTAGAAGTATTATTGTTTTATTTTATCAATACTTAATTACAATTACCTACCTATGTGTTAACCATCATCTTTAACCGTCATTGTTTTTGCACAAAACTTTAGTATACCAACTCAGAGCAGAAAGAGGATCCATCATATTCTGTGTCTGCCCTATTAAGCATGCTTCTTTGCTGCATGGCCTTTGATTCCTGGTAGCAGATTTAACCCAGACAAAGATGTAGAGCCCTGTTATGGGCTATCAGACCCCAATACCAAGACTTTTCTTGTGCCACAGCCCTTTGATCGCAGGCCACTGACTCTAACTTCTATCTCCTTTTCTAACAGTTCTCATGGATACTAAAGTCCCCCAGACACCAAGAAAATTGGTCACATTGACTAATTTTAAGAGATGGCATTGCAGTAATCTCAGAAAATGAAAAGTCATAGCACATACTAGCTATTGACAACGTATGGCTTGGCCTATGGCAAACCCATGACACAAATGGAAGTGTCAGGGAAGAAAAACCACCATAAGCATTAAGGAACAAAAGAGTATAGTATAGGAATTAGGCCTGACACGGATAAGTGAAAGTTTGAAAAGGGTCAGAAAAAACAACTCTAATGAGCTCTGGTGAAGGTGGATGAACTGGACTTTGCATTAAGTTTTGCATTAAGTTGGGTATATCCATGTACTACACGGAACCCTAAAGGAGATGGTGTAGGAATTTATGGAAGATGGCTGACTCTATGTGCCAACAGCCCTGTAAGTTCTCAGAAAAGTTTGGTGGTGGGACTGCAGTCCCTCCTGGTCAGCAGAGATGGCAGTCAGTATAAAGAGCTGGATGTGAAGCAGGGGAAAGTCAGCATAAATTGGAACTCACTGGCACTTTTGATGCTACTTCTCCCTGCCTGGAACCAGTGATGACTTCACAACTCAGTGGCAGCTGTTTTACTTTCCCCTTACAAACTTCATGCATTTCTTCCCCCATGATCAACTCGAACCTGGAACCATACTAGGAAAAAGTTATCTGAAACACATTCCTTGCTTAGCCAGGTTGACACAGTGATAAAACACCACAGGAATACCCAGATGCTTCTTGACTTGCAGTGGGGTAATATCCTGATAAATCCAGCATAAATTGAAAACATCATAATTCAACTTACAATATCCAGCTTATCTGTACATAACCCCATCATAAGTCAAGGAGCACACTGAAATGCATATTGCTTTAGCACCACTGTAAAGTTGAAAAGTCATTAAACCATCATGAGACCATCTGTACCTGACAATTAGTGTTTCTCAAAATAAATAGATTTTCTTCTGATCTGAAGGTCTTCCAGCCACTCTCTCCCAGACATATCATAATATTGGGCCAGAGGTCACCCATTGCAAGCTGTCCTTACTTACTCTTTGCAGAAAAAGTAGTTAGCACTATGAAGTGGCCTCATTTTAATGAGATCCAACATACCCAGGAAAGAAAAAATGCAGCCACAGGAGCATACAGATGCCCTTCAGTAGATATGTCAATATTAACATAATGCAATAGCTATATTTGTTATGATAAAACGATTCCACAATTGCACAAACATAATATGATGGGCGAAGTCTAAATCTTACCTTTTCTAGCTACCTATGCCAGAGAAGAACTAAATATTAAATGAAAGCATAATTGGGAGGCTGTTATAAAAATGAAAACATAGGGCTTTCAGAATAACTTTCCAGCTCCTTGTAATTGCTACACATTTCCAACGTCGATCCATTAAAACAAGTATCCCAGCATGTTCAAATCAAAGAATTTCTTATGCCTCCTAGAAACTATTTTCACTGCCCAGTACTTAGTATGATCTCCATTACAATAGAATAAATGTAATTATTCTCACAACCTCAACAGTGATTAACATGGAAACATACAAGCTAAATCGAGAAATAATATTAGAATGTTTAGAATTGAGTCCATCTATATATGAGGGAAATTGTTATGAGATACTCATGAGGTAACTGTCTCATTTAGAAAATGATGAAGTGGCTTCATCATGATGATGAAGTGGCTTCATCATGATTATGAAGAAACATTGGACTTCCAGCTGAGGCACTGGCCTGGGCATTATCAATATTTATGGCAGTTCCAACCTGAAGGTCTAGTGATTAACCACCATGAGTTGTCTTGGTGTGATTACTTTGAGGATATGAAACAGAAGCAGCAAACAGATTCCACTGCCATTCATTACCCAAACATACACTTATTTCCTTATAAGAAACTCACTTAAGTCATTGTAATGCTCTATATCTCAGTGTATTTGTAATAAATTTAGAAGTTGATTTGGGAAATCTTCAGGCCACTTTGGGCAATGTATGAGTTTTTGTTTTGTTTTGAGATGCAGTCTCATTCTATCACTCAGGCAAGAGTGCAGCGGTGCGATCTTAGCTCACTGCAACCTCCGCCTCCCGGGTTCAAGCAATTCTCTACCTCAGCCTCCCAAGTAGCTGGGATTACAGGTGCCTGCCACCACACCTGGCTAATTTTTGTGTTTTTAGTAGAGACGGGGTTTCACCATGTTGGCCAGGTTGGTCTTGAACTCCTAACCTTGTGATCCACCCGCCTCTGCCTCCCAAAGTGCTGGAATTACAGGCGTGAGCCACTGAGCCTGACTTGTATAGTTCTTTGATAGGCAGAGAGATGGATGTAACACTGGTCATGGGCAAAGATTACCACCAGGGGGCAGACTAGAGCATCCTTGAGATTCTGTGATCAGTCACCCCTCCTCGCTGGTGAATGGAGACGTGGTCACAACTCTCCCCGGAGAAAGTGGTGTGGTGCCATCACCGAAGATGCTGTTGCTTCTGCTGCTTCTGGGGACAGGTATGAGCCTCCTTCTACCTGGGAGCTTCGGTGGGCATGTGCGTGTGTTGGCATGGTCAAGTGGTGGCCAGGCAATGTGGATTGTTTATGCTCATCAAAGGGAGAGGGAGCGGCTCTGCTCTCTAGAGGTGTAAACGGTAAGGTGAGAGCCACCAGCCAGAGGAGATGGGGGATTATGGCCCTAGGGAGATGACAGAAAGATTGCACAAAACAAACGGGATTCTCCAGGAGCTGGGAGCACAGGGAGGGAGTGAGGCTCAGCTCTGCCTGTCATCCTGTCTGACTCGGGTCCTACTGGGCTCTCCTCTCTCTGGCTTCTGTTTTCAGCAGGCTCCGGGCTTGCTGCTGTCGTCTCTCAATATCCGAGCAGGTTTATCTGTAAGAGAGGAACCTCTGTGAAGATCGAGTGCCGTTGCCTGGACTTTCAGGCCACAACTATGTTTTGGTATCGTCAGTTCCAGAAACAGAGCCTCATACTCATGGCAACTTCCAATGGGGGCTCCGATGTCACATACGAGCAAGGCGTCAAGCAGGACAAGTTTCCCATCAACCATCCAAACCTGACCTTCTCCACTCTGACAGTGACCAATGCGCATCCTGAAGACAGCAGCTTCTACATCTGCAGTGCTAGAGACACAGCACCAGGAAGGGATCAGAGACCACGGCAAGAACCCCCTGCAGCTGGGCCTCTGCCCCAGCGGGCCCCTGAGTGCTGAGAGCAGAGGCGTGGAGATGGAAAACCACAGCTTTCCTGACTGAGACATCTGGGTGTGTATGTAGGGGGTGTGTGTGTGACATCTGGGTGCGTGTGTATAGGGGGTGGGGTGGGGTGGGGGGAGAGAAAGAAAAGAAGCCCTGTGAGTGTGGAGAGTAGAGGAGCTGTAGTGTTTGAGACCCATGAAATGGCCATAGAGTTGGGCCTAAAGTGGTCAGTGGACGTGGAAGCTTCCCTGAAAATTATAAAACCTGGAATTTTGCCCTGACTCTGCCACATTAGTCGTGTGCTCTTGAATAGATCTACACACAATCCTAGAGGTAGATATGAAGACAGTTGTATAATCACTGTGTGTTTCCTATAATAAACTTCAGCGATTGGCTTTCTTGTCATCATGCTGGGCTCTCAAGACAAAGATAACCAAGAGGCAGCCAAGTAGACAGTTATGCATGAGTACGTTACCTTAGGGGAGGACGGCAACAGCATTGAATAGCACCCACTTCAAATTTGTGTTCAGTCCTCCTTGGACCAGGACCACCAAAATAAAATCCTATCACATTTCCTGTAAATGTTGAATGCCATCATGTTCTCCATGTTGTTTCGGTTGATGAATGAACAGAGTAAGACTCAGTACAAAGGAAGGAGAGCACCCTCTATGCCTAGGTACACACGATATGGAATGTATCCCTAGGGAAGGTGCTGGTGTGCTGGCTTCTGGGAAAGGTGTCAAGGGGAAGAGCGGGCAGAGGTACCTAGAAGGAAGATCTCAGACAACATGGCTTGTCTACAGAGTTGGAAAGTTCTGCCAGTAGCTAGAAGACAGTAAGTGGAACAGTGAAAATCCTTCCCTAGGAGAAACCAAATATTTACATTGACCACAAATCTGTATGAGCCAATAGAAAATGAGCAAAACATGATCATACATTTAATAGAAGAAACCTGTATGACCAATAAACATATAGAGATATTTTACTGCATTGATGATCAGGATAATATGAAGCAAGACATAGTGATACATAGCCTTATATCCACTTGATTAGCAAAATATAAAAAGTTTAGAAATATAAAATGTTAGCGAGGGTATGGATTCATAGGATTACTTATAAATTACTGATGGGAGCATAAGTACTATAAACCATTTGGAAACAGTTCAGCATCATCTCATAGTTGAAGATTTCTATGTCCCATGACTCAGCAATTCCACTCCTAGATTTACATCAGGAGAGGCTCTTGCATACATGACTCAGCAATTCCACTCCTAGATTTACATCAGGAGAAGCTCTTGCATACACATATCAGAAGATATAAATACAAAAGTGTTCTTAACAGCACCAAACAGTAGAAAAACATGGCACCAAGCCACACATGCACCGAGAAGAGTGAATGAATAAACTGTGGCATATTCATATGAGTCAAAATGAATGAACTATAGTGAAGAGCAAGGTTATAGGTGAATCTTAGCAATATAATAGCAAATGCAAAAACTAAGTCTAATGAGACTATACAAAGCCTAATGTGCTTTGCATAAAGCTAAAAACAAATAAGTCAAGGAAATAATTTTCAGGAATAAAATATGTTAGGTCAACTTTTATTGAAAGGAAAGCAAAGACCAGTCGTATGCTAGAGCCTACCTTATCAGCTCATGGGAGCTGACTGTATACATTTTTCCCAACTCCAGTTTTAGTGACATCATTTTGTTAGCTTGAAACTGGCAATAGTGAGGGTATTTACACTATAGAAATCAGCAAACACAATAAATTACAGTTTTGCTTTATTTTCCTCCAGAGAGTTAGTTGTCAACCCTTTACCAACACACTACTGGCAGGGAATAATAGTGACCCAAGTTCAGGATTTTTATAAGGCTGGGGCATGGCAGGAGATAGAATGAGAGAGAACTACATAGCTATACATTTAAATATTGTCAAGGTCTGTCTTGCATAATGTTGAGGAGGAGATGTTTTACAAGTTCCTATTATATTTTTACATAAATAAATAATTACTCATTGAGAAGCAATGCCTATGTGTTATCCTTAACCACAGGTTAAGATAAATAAAATTGTATGCATATAGAATCAAAAAGAAGAGATAAATGAATAGATTAGAGTTCTTACAAGAAAAGGATCAAGAGCATTTTATAGTCAAAACCAGGAGTGAAATAGCAGTGGCTCAACTGCTACCATCCTCATACAGACATCGGCTGCTGAATTAATCACGGCGGACAACCTGCTACCCAATAGACCTGGACCCTTGTCAACCCCTTTGCAACAGACAGGAAGGGTTTAGACACTAAGGGTGAACGTGAAAACATGGAGATGACACCTGGCCCGTGACCAAGGTGGAACTGACTGGAATAAGATGGGAGCCAAGTCTGCAGTGCACACGCTGCTGTTTTTCATCTCCGCTATGACCATGTGTTGCTGGTGGTTAAATACCCTACCTGGGTTCAGTCACCTTAGACTGTGCCATTGTCACTGAACTCACGGACCCATTTCAGTTGTAGCCTTTTACTCTGTTAGTGTTTTCAGCCTGGAGAACAGAGCTAGTAAAATACTTTAAAAATATTCCACTGCTCACTAATGGCATGGAAAAGACAAGAGCTTTTAAGGCTCTGGCATGAAACACGGAGACAGTGGTTACATTCCTATTTCATGCAGTCACTATTTCCCTCTGCATTAAGCTGAGGAGTGTAGTGTTTCAGTGACATTTAGCATGGAACAGTGCTGGGTTCAGACCTGCCTTTCCCAAACCAGCTATCAAGGACACAGCCTACTGCCTACCTACATTACCTTAGGAAAGAAGACAACAGCGTTGAACAGCATTCAGTCCAAATTTGTGTTCTGTCTTCCTTGGACAAGAACCAACAAAATAAAATCCTATCACATTTCCTGTAAATTTTGAATGCCATACATTTTTGATGAGCAATTATTTTTGAAGTGTTGGACTTCCTGTTCTGATTTAATATTCTACTCTCTGGGCTTTGTTGTATTTGAAATCAAGTTCACCTTTCAGAGGCAGTGATGGGTGAGGTAAGAGACAGACTCTTACATCCTCCTGCCCGATACACACATACACACACACACACACACACACACACACACGGAAGCACTGTGTTCCCCAGTAATGGAGAAGCCATGGGGAGAATTTCAGAGGTTTCAAGGGAGCTAGGGTTTTCTAATTCCTCTATATCCTTGGATATCCCCTTTCTTAAAGTCAAAAACAATCTCTGGAGCTGGTTTCCAGGAGTCTGAACCCATTTGCTACAGTACATGTATCATCTCAGGTGTCCAAAGGTGAATGTTTGACTAGCTACTTCACAACTTCATACCACTGCTGCTGTTTTACCATTCTGGAATGTGGAAAGCAGCATGACTCCTATTAACTGACCAGTAGTCAATTTCAACTACCCATAAATATGTGAGAGTCTTTTATCTGTAATCTCCTATCTGGTGCCATTTTTGAAAAGCAGTTAAGACTCTTTTATTCTAAAAAATGAACTATGTCTCACTTCTTGAAAGTAATTATTGATGAAATGCTCCATGGAGAGTCTGAAGCCCCTGATATTGCATATTTAATGGTTATCTGCCTTTTAATAAAAGGTATGGGGAGAAATTTTAAATATTATTCCTAAATACCTTACATCAAGATGAGCTAGAGTTAATTAAGTGGGACGAGAGATAATGAGTTCAAGGGCATTTAAGTAAGATTAAAGAACCAGTGCAAATGTTTTAATCAGGAAATAAATTGGTGTGTTTAATGACAGGAAAGAAGTCAGCAGCGTGGCAGCAGCAGGGGGAGGAGGTGGTTGAGTACAGAGCAAAATTGAAGAAGGCAGGAAGGCATCAGACCACTCACAACCCTACTGGTCAAGGTAAACGATACAGAATCCAACATAAAGCTTAACAGGAGACATTGAGGTTTTGAACCTTTGACTTCTGTAGTAATCAGATTCGTGGCTGTGTGTGTATCTGTGTATTTAATCACCCTGGTCACAAAGTGAAGAAATAATGGACCGTGCAGGGAAGGCAAAATGTTACCTCTACCCTCTTCGGGTTTTTCGGCTGGGCCTGAGAACGGAACAGATTAACAGGAGAAAAGAGAACGGAACAGATTAACAGGAGAAAAGCAAACACATGTATTTAATGTAAGTTTTACATTACATGAAAGCCCCCACAATTACAGGAAGACCTGAATATGCAGTTAGAGTTGAACACTCATATACTGAATTGGGCAAAGAGTCATACACTGTTAAAAGGTGAAAAAGTAAAGGGGCTTCGGCTAGGGTTGCTGGTGGAATGGCAAAGTGACGAGGAAGGTGAGGGTTAGTTTAACAAGCTTTTTTGGTACAGATTCCTTGTCCTCAACATCATCCCGTTCTATCTTCGATGTTACGATGCTACAATTCTTTCTTCCTGGTATAGATAAGACATTTTTTTATATGGGAGGCTTATTCCGTTTTTCAAGAAGAAAAGGAGAAGGGTCAGAATACTCCTCTTATACCTGCTATTGTCTAAAGACATTAAAGGCATTAAAACACCTCTTGCTCAAAATAATCCTTATGCCAAAGTGGCATGTTTTGGGCAGAGGGTTGAGGGGCTTATGCTGCCACCCTCCAGCAGTGTGGACAGAGTTGATGTGGAGGGAAAATGTTAGCTCAGACAAGCAGTAGTTTAGCTTGGATAATGATGATGGTGTTAGAAATATGGGGAAAATGAGACATTTAAAAGGAAGTAAATCAAAAGACTTGGCAATTGGTTAGACATGAGCAGCAACATGCAGCGGGTGGGGGGTGATGATTAAGAGACTGCTACAGACAGACAAATAAGGAGGACCAAATGGGAAGAAGATCAAGATTTACCTTGAGATTGGGAGTGCCTTTGAGACAGTGATCTAACCAGGAATATGCAGAGAGCAGTTGGATGTACAATCATGGACTCAGAAAATGGATCTGGATAAGAAGTATACCTTTGGGACATTTAGCCTCACTGGAAGAATGAAAGTGCCTCCAACCCCTTGATATAGAGTTTACAATGAAAAGAGCAGAGAACATAGGATAGAGATTTAGGGAGCACACCTGCCTTGGGGGACTATAAAAGGTTGAGGGAGGCAAAATGCACTGATAAACCACCATGGGCATTAACCACCATCTTTATTATTAACTAGACTAATGGCTGAGTCATGGTGTCAGTAATCACTAGTAACAATGCTGTGGAGTATGTGGCAGGTACCACACCAAGCGCTGCTTTTTTCTTAATTCCACTTTAATGCTTGGGATGCCTCCTTGCTGCCTCGCTGCGGGGCGGGCCACTCCCGACTCATGCAGGCTGAGGCAGACCTCAGCGGGCATCGGATGAATTTGTTCCTTTGACCACTAGAGGGTGATGTGGATCTTTCTATAAAATATCTGCCACTCATCCAGTGTGGACTCGGAGCTTCACCAGATATTTCAGATGATATGCTTAGGTGCTGATTGACCGAAAAAATTGCAGATATCCTGGGAGGCCAATTGGTCTTTAAAAATGGCAGGATCTAATCTTAACATTTTGTAAAACCCTTAGCGTTTACCCATATCTGGCACCTGTAGTCATGTGATTTCTACATAATTGATAAACACATAAATGAATAATGCCGTGGTTTCTATTCAACATTGTGCTGAATTTGCAACCAGTGAAACAAGGGGAAAAAGTTGAAAATGAGAAAGGAAAGAAAAATAAGTAAGTATTGGAGCATGACAAGCTTAGTTATAGAGATTCAAAAGGGTCTAAAGAAGCAATGCATTATCAATAACAAAATGTAGTAACTTTACTGAATTTAACATAAATATAAAACATTATTTTATTTTCACATACTAGAAGCAGTTAAGATATGTTTCTTAACAAGAGAGACAATTTACAAATAACAATATAAAATATAAAATAAACACCTAAGAACAAATCTATTAGAAGATTAGCAAAGACTATCATGCAGAAAATTATTAAAATTTTAGGGGAATGAGGGTTGGGCACAGTGGCTCATGCCTGTAATCCCAGCACTTTGGGATGCTGAGGCGGGCAGATCATGAGGTCAGGAGTTCAAGACCAGCCTGGCCAATAGGGTGAAACCCATCTCTACTAAACATACAAAATAATTAGCTGGGCATGGTGGCACACGCCTGTAGTCCCAGCTAGTCCCGAGGCTGAGGCAGGAGAATGACTTGAACCTGGAAGGCAGAGGTTACAGAGAGCCGAGATCATGCCACTGCACTGCAGCCTGGGCGACAGAGCTAGATGCCATCTCTAAAGAAAGAAATAAATAAATAAATTTAAGGGAATGATTTTAAAAGTTTGAAATAAGCCAGGTGTGGTGGCTCACACCTGTAATCCCAGCACTTTGGGAGGCCGAGGTGGGCGGATCACCTGAGGTCAGGAGTTCAAGACCAACCTGGCCAACATGGTAAAACCCCGTCTCTACCATAAGCACAAAAAATTAGCCGGATGCAGTGGCGGGTGCCTGTAATCCCAGCTACTTGGGAGGCTGAGGTAGGAGAATTGCTGGAACCCGGGAGGCGGAGGTTGCAGTGAGCTGAGATCACACCATTGCACTCCAGGCGGCTGGGCAACAGAGTGAAACTCCCTCAAAAAAAAAAAAAAGTTTGAAATAAGTAAAGATATACAACATGATCATGAAAAAGTGAATCCAATAGTAAGGTTATTTCAATTTCTGCAGTGTTATCTATATATTCAATATCACAGTAGTCAAACTACAAAAGATTTATTTGATGAAATTTGGCAAATAATCTACAACTAAGTGAAAAAGAACAAAAATAAGCAATATTTAAGAAGTACAAAAAGTTACGTGAATTGCTCTATCAATTATCAAATTATGTTATTTAGGATAATGAAAGGAGCATGATTAAATAGGCAAATGGAAAATAGAAAATGAAAAATGGGCCCATGAATATACAGGAATTTCACATATGACAGAGGTGTTACTGAAGCTATATGGAGGAATTATGTAATATACAAGTTATTCTGCAGCAGGTGGTTATCCATACAAGGAAAGATTAATTTAAAACTTACTTCACAATATATGCCAAAATAAATCACAAGTGGATTAAATGCTTAAATGCAAAATTCAGAATGTTAGGTGTTTTGGTAAATAATAAGGATTATGCCTTCATGAACTTGGGCTATGGGAGATTTTTTTTATAAAGAATTAAAAAACATGTTTACCCCAAATAAAAGAATAATACATTCTACTAAATGAAGAAATCCAACAAAAAGTAGCACAGAGAGAGTAAAGACATACACCACAAATTGGAAAGATATTAGCAACACACATAGCTGACACAGGTTAGGTATCCAATCCAGAGTCTATTAAGAACTGTTATAAATAAATAATAGTTAATCAACCAAAAAGAAATATGGACAAAGGGCAGTTTACAGGCAACACTGGTGGCCTATAATATATAAAATATATTCAACATTCTTAGCAACCAGAAAGAAGCAAACTAAAACTAAAATATTGTGCCATGAGATAATTTTAACATACTAGACCGGCAAAATTAAAAGTATATTAAATAGCAACTGTAGTCTTAGATGTGGAACATTTGAACACACTCATGAGCTATTGGTGGGATCATTTATTTGGCCTCATCACTTTGGAAAGCATTTTGCTATGTTATGTTATGTAAAGTTGACATGTTGCCTTGAAGACTCAGTCTTTACACTGCCAGGTATGGCAACAATCTTGCACCTAGGTAAGCAGAGACATGTTCAAGAATACAATACTGTTTGTAGCAGCACAACACCCAGGGAAAAATTAGTGTGCATTAATTCAAGAATGAATAATAAATTCTAGCCAATGAATATAATGTAATACTAGATAGCAGTGAAAGTAAATTGTCTAGATTATGTGTCAACATATCACAGACCTAATGTTGAATGAAAAATTAACATTATAGAAAATACATAAACTAGCCGATTCCTCTCACATTTCAAAGACATGCAAAATTAAATACTATACAATTTACAGATTCTTGTGTAAATGCTAAAGACTATAATGAAAAGCAAGTGAATGACAAATTTAAACTTCAGTTTACACCTACCTGGGCATGACGGAGAAACAATAAGGAAACCTAAGAGTAACATGGACTAAGAAATTTTCAACAATAATCTAACTCTTAAGCTGATTGGTTCAGGCAAAGGTACTTCTATATATGCATTGCATATTTGTTGTAAATATTGTTCTGTATAGTTCAACATTTAATTCTTTAATGTAACCGGGCGCGGTGGCTCATGCCTGTAATCCCAACGCTTTGGGAGGCTGAGGGGGGCGGATCACTGGAGGTCAGGAATTCAAGACCAGTCAGTGACATGGTGAAAGCCTGTCTGTACTGAAAATACAAAAAATTAGCCAGGTGTGGTTGTGGGGGCCTGTAATTCCAGCTACTCGGGAGGCTGAGGCAGGAGACTGCTTGAACCCAGGAGGTGAAGGCTGCAGTGGGCCGAGATCACACCACTGCACTCCAGCCTGGGAGGCAGAGCAAGATCCATCTTAAATAAATAAATAAATAGATAAATAAATACTTAATGTAAAGCAGCTGCTATGTGATTTTTATAAGTGTGTCAAAAGCTACTATTTGTAAAGACCAAGTTGTATGATTCCTCACCTGAGATGGAAGGAAAGAGGGGAAGAAGAAAAATCACAAGTTAAAAAACTAAACAGAGTATAAATAAGTTCAACCATTGTGGAAGACAGTGTGGCAATTCCTCAAGGATCTAGAACCAGAAATACCATTTGACCCAGCAATCCCATTACTGGGTATATACCCAAAGGATTATAAATCGTTCTGCTATAAAGACACGTGCACATGTATGTTTATTGCAGCTCTGTTCACAATAGCAAAGACTTGGAACCAATCCAAATGCCTATCAATGAGAGACTGGATAAAGAAAATGTGACACATATATTCCATGGAATACTATGCAGCCATAAGAAAAGGATGAGTTCACGTCTTTGCAGGGACATGGATTCGAAGCTGGAAACCATTCATTCTCCAGCAAACTAACACAAGACAGAAAAGACCAACACACATGTTCTCACTCATAAATTGGGAGCTGAACAATGAACACATGGACACAGGGAGGAGGAACATCACCACATGGGGCCTGTCAGCGCACGCCCGGGGGAGGGCTAGGGGAGGGAGAGGCATTAGGAGGAAATACCTAATGTAGATGAGTTCGGTTGGATGGGTGTGGCAAACCACGTAACAAACCTGCATGTTCTGCACATGTACCCCAGAACTTAAAGCATAATAATTTTTTAGGTAAATAAATGTATGAGTGATTTTACCTAAAAAAGTAGCAAAACATTGAGTCACAGAAAAAAAAAATTAAAAGCAGGCTGAAACTTACACTTTTTTTAACAGCTAAAACAAAGCTATGAAATTGAAACGACTCTGTCCCATGTACAGAGCATCTACGAAGGCTATGGGAAGTGATCACGTCACAAGCAGGTTGCTGACGGGGGCGGGGGGAGCGGGTGAGGAAGCCTTACAGAAAAAGCTACCACCACGATTTCTGTCTGAGCCAACCATGTGCCTCAGACTTCTCTGCTGTGTGGCCCTTTCTTTCTGGGGAGCAGGTAAGTCCCTGTTCTGAACTGGTTGAATTCCAGTTCCAAGACTCTCTCCTGTGGCTGCAGTATCAGCCTCCCTCCTGGGTTTTTTTCTACAGCTGCTCTCTTCTTCCTCCACAGCCTCCACGGACACCAAGGTCACCCAGAGACCTAGACTTCTGGTCAAAGCAAATGGACAGAAAGCAAAGATGGATTGTGTTCCTGTAAAAGGACATAGTTATGTTTACTGGTATCGTAAGAAGCTGGACGAAGAACTCAAGTTTTTGGTTTACTTTCAGAATGAAGAAATTATTCAGAAAGCAGAAATAATCAATGAGTGATTTTCAGCCCAATGCCCCCAAAACTCACCCTGTACCTTGGAGATCCAATCCACGGAGTCAGGGGACGCAGCACTGTATTACTGTGCCAGCAGCAAAGCCACAGTGCCAAATGTTAGCCCTTCTTAGAACACAAACTCGTTATGGACCCAGCTCAGGAAATAAGTGTGTAGCAGGTTGGTAGGCTCTATAATAACAGAAACCCAACTTGAAAGACAATAAATCAGAAGGAAAAACTTGTAAATAATAGCTCTAAGTGGGCACAACAAAAGGGGGTTATTTAAAACAACTAATGGGGACAAAACCCCAGGAAAGGGGCCAGAAGGCATAAAAAGCTTGGATACCTCAGTGTTCAGGATATTAGGTAAGATACACTAGGTTCCCTTTTCTCTTTCTATGTGAGCTTTATGGATTTCTAACAATCCTTATATAAAGAATAGGATTCTGTGCTTTTCACTTGGTAAAGTTGTGAGTGCAGAAATAAGAATGACAAGCAGATCAACTATGTCCTTCAGGTAGACCCTGATCTTCTGACTCAGCACATTTCCTTGAACTAGAAACAAACTCTAAGGGCTTTTGGAATGCTTCTCACAGCTCTCCCTACCATAGAAGCTTAGTGGGAACCATTAGCAATCCCTGCCCACTGGGATGTTACAATCACAAACGTTTATTGATTGATTGATTGATTGATTGATTGATTTTTTGAGGCAGAGTCTCGCTCTGTCGCCCAGGCTGGAGTGCAGTGGGGTGATCTTGGCTCACTGCAAGCTCCGCCTCCCGGGTTCATGCCATACTCCTGCCTCAGCCTCCCGAGCAGCTGGGACTACAGGCGCCCGCCACCATGCCCGGCTAATTTTTTGTATTTCTTTTAGTAGAGACGAGGTTTCAGCGTGTTAGCCAGGATGGTCTCGATCTCCTGACCTC